GCTAAGCTTATCTCACTTTTCACACATACTAATCCATCAGGAACCTCAAGGTAATCAATTAGTTCTCGGAGTGTTCTAGGGCACAGACTACCAATCATGTAATTTCTAGTCGTCTTATTCAAAGAGTTTTGTAACTGGTATATCTTGCATTTCTTATTCCCTTTCGAACTGGGACTTCGCGAGAGTAACTGTTGGAAGCGCGGTAGATATGACGATAGGTTCTCGTCCCGAAATTGTCAACATGCATGAAATAGTGCGGCCGCCAATTTTTCCTCGTTTCTGTCGCGGTAGGTATCATCCATAGCCCATAACATCCCTAGCGCATCCCATTCCATGCCATTTGCAAGCGTACTCTGAAACTGACCTGTGATCATATCTTTCGCTGTTCCAGTTACTGCATGACTAAATAGTTGAATTAAAAAGTCAGACGGTTGAAGAATACATTGATTCTCTACATCGCGCCTGTATGTGTACCTAAGTATTCCATGTGTAATTGCCCACTTAGTTCTATCCTTGTGATTGTATGCCTCTGGCCATTTAAGTGGTTCTTCTTCAATGAAGCATTTTCTGCATTTTGATTGGCCTCCCACATTAGCTCTTGACAGTTGCAGGGGAGTTTTTTCCTCATTCTCCGATCGTTCCTGCATTGTTTTCATCATTTTGTTCATCTAAGGTCGTAGAATACCAAGGTCTCTTCTGTGTTCCATTACTCTTAATCTCATTTCTTCGACCAGTTGCTGCATTTCCGATTGTATTTCTCCATGTGGCATAGATTTCTGGTTCGATAAACCAGTTGCCACAAAGTCCGTTCCAATAGTAAAATTGTTCATTTCTGAACCCATTGTTGATTCTTAGAATCCCTGTGCGTTAAAACCAATAATTAAAGATGCCCTAAGTCACAGTTATCCACGACTGCGATGAACTTAATGACGGGCAAAGGATTTGAATGATATAGTTTATATTGTGACGGAAACCGAGTTGGTGATTAATAAATCGATTTCATAAACTTTATGAGGAGAAAAGCTAACTCTAGCTACAACTAACAGGTATTTATAGGAGTTAATCCTCCTCGTGAATCTACAGACTAGTGACTTGTCCTTAGGCACAATACTTCTTACCCAGCCACGTATTTCCAGGTGTCACTAAGTTGTGATAACGCTTCAGCCTCCTGACTAGCAGTGCCATTTCGTTCAGCTTCATCTCCCCCTCATACAGCCTCATAGTAAGAATTCTTAGTATCAGGCTTAGGTATCCACCTAAGCTCAAACAACTCTCAAACTGTAACAGGCACGAGCCGAAGTTGGTAAAACGCCTGTTTTTAGAGCCGCTACTTCTATCATCATTTCTGGTGTTACTGGTATTTGCCCTTCCAGTGTGTAGAGTCTGACTGGTATATTCGGAGCTAGTACCGAGGTCCAGTTGGAAGCTGCTTCAAGTTTCATTTCCGTACTCTGCAAGAGCACGGCGCCCGAGAGGAGCGCGCTTCTAGCTCCATCTCCTTCAGCTTGTGTCGCAAGCCCTGGGTTGACGATGGTAACCTGCTTGATAGCAGAATTAGCCAGGCATAGCTTGCTTGCGAGGTTAATTTTGATGTAATAAGGGGACATGCGTCTCCACGGATGGTCGGGCTTGAGCCGCAGGAACTGTCGCTCGTCTAGTCGAGCTGGATTTGGAGCTGAGGCATTTGACCTCGGCATTCGTGTAGGCTCCGTTGCATTTGGATCGGATCCATTGGCTGGTAGCGGTATTGTCGCCGTTGAGATTGCGGGCTTTGCCTTTTTCTTCACTACCTGAGTCCAGGATCTCTCAGTAGTGTTCGAGCTTAGAAGGTCATCGCCTTGGTTTGGCCAGTTAGACGTTGTCGAAGCCGGCTCTTTGTCTTTTGCGTAGCTGTTGCTTTTTTCCGCGAGAATCTGCACTCGTCGTGTATTGCTCGCTTTGGTCTTTACTCCCGACTCGGTAGCTAGCGCGGAGATGGGTGTATTAATTCATCTTATTGTCCTATCTGAGTCTAAGACTATGTAGGACATGCAGGTCCTCTCTGCCTACAGGCCAAGGATACCTATACCAGTAGTATATCCCCTCCTATGCCTCCCATACAGCTCCCATCAAACAGTACCGCCCCTCACAAGTCCTCGTTCGATCATACATTTAAAGGAGCCCTTTGATCTCAAAGATGAGGGTTTGACAGTGTTCCACAGGGTGCGTTGTATAGCCTAGTGAAGATCTAGTGAAGGTCAAGGTGGTGAATGAAGATAATAAATAGGTCAAAGTGATGACAGGTCTTCTCTAGGAAGAGATGAATGGGCAACTAGTTGCTGTAGATGTTACACGTGGGTCTTGCTGATGAAGAACTGGGCAATGGATATATGGTCCTCCCGAAGAAGAGATGGGTGAACAAATGTATTGTAAAGGGTAGATAAAGAAGACGTTGCGTGAGGAGTAAACCTCTCTCACGCTGAACTATTATATACAAGAGTAGTAGCATTTGCCAGCCGGAATTAATCGTAATCAATAGTTGCCAATATCTTCGCATTAATGGCTATGTTCTTGTCCTTTTCTTCATGAATCTCTTGTATATCCTTACATGACGTTTTACATGACTAATTGTATAGGGGAAGCTGTTATTAAATTGATGGTTTTAATTAACTACCCCTTCATCTTATCAGGAATTAATATTAGTATTAAAATTCTAATTACGGATCCGTGAAATTTGCCCTTCATTATCTCCCCTCTCCAGCCAACGAAACAATGGCCATTTGCAGGTGTATGGCAGCCGGGAAAATTCGCAAAAAACACTGGGTGCGGGGTTCACTTAATATCGAAATTAGGACTAAATCCGAAGACACAGTGTCCCATTTGAAGCGTTCGAAGAGGCCGACCAGCTGGGCGCTGCAGACTTGTGGGTATCTCGAGAAATTCACTCTCTGCCTTCCTAGCCTCTTTCCCGAAGATTGTGCTGGGATGTTAGAGAAGTCTTTCCAGAATTTAATTGCTGTATAGTTTTTTAGCCCAACTTCTCTGTGCCGTCTGAGGTATGAGGAAGTGTCAGAAATCGACAAGGGTTTTTAGGAGGAAATATCTCGAAGTACAAGTGTACAATTCCGGACAAGACTTTATTGATAGTTGTATAGGGTTTTGAACTCTCTTCTCAATGTGAATTAATAAACTGGAGAGCAGTCAAATTGTCAGAACCAAAAGTCAGGAAGATGGAAAACAATTCTCCAGCAATCGCCATTTTTACTCCACCAAAACTTGAAAAGGGCCTAAAAAAGTCTAGCGATACATATACGGAGTGAGCACATAGAGCTCGAATTGTATTCACACAGAATAAAAGTGCCGGGAGTCTACAGCCCAAGCTGTATATGTGGCTACCAATCGCAAAATCCCAAGCACATGATTATGTCCTGCCCTCGATGATCAATCGGAGAAGCAGAGATTTGGAGACAAGCCAAAGATCGTTCCGAAGAAGCTATGATGAACGATCCTGGAGACATCGACTTGATAACACAGTGGATCCTAAATCATAGTTGGATAGAGCAATTCCTGATAACAAAGGTGTTCGAAATGCTGCTGGGGGATAGGACTAGATCAAGCCATTCTCGAGGTCGATAGAGATGATGTGATTGGTTTACATGGAGGGGACTATAGTACGACTGCGCTTCCTGAAGGATACATTAGAAAAATATAGACAATAAAGGGAAGTTATGGGGGGTTTTCACCTGAAGGTTTCCTCTCATGTAAATTAGAATGTATGATCGAAACCTGTATAGGCCCATAGGGCTCCAAATCAGTTCAATGAAATCAAAATCCAACATGTAGTACTTAATTATCTTAGTTTATCTTGTGAAATTAAGTCTATTTTTAAACACAGATTCTCGAGGCTTTATTGATCCCGAACTCCTAGTGTTATGACAATAACCGGCCACTCAATTATCGCAAGGTAGAATTTTCCAGCCAGAGAGGTTTGGAGACCACTGAGCCTGATGTCACCCAGTCAGGCTTACTCATTTGCAATCGAATCAACACAATTCATCTTGATGATCATAACCTAGAAATCTAAACCATCATACATACTGAGTCTAGATTTCCCAACAGGAAGTGACGTAGACTCGTCAGAAATAGAAAACTTCTAGCTAATCACCCAACCTCGTAATCTTGCAGTTCTGAAATACCCCAGCGTTGAAAACTCTTCGAAAGTATCAGCCACATCATGCAGGTGAACTCTTCTCTCTATTATTCCATGTATCAGCCGACTGCATTCCCTCAAGCTGTACAGCCACATTAGAGTAACAGCCCCCCATAAGTTAAAGTCCATGCTTTGCCTCTTACGACTCATTTTCCTCTTTGCACTTATGAATGGAGTCGTAATCGTATGGTGGAATTTGGCTGGTTATTAATGGGATAAGCTCTCATTTGTGATAGGAGAAATTCTCTTCTCGGTTGTTAATGCGAGAAGATATGTGGTTGGACACTGGTTAAAGACTCATACGAGAATGGTAAGATAGTCATTGATGAGAGGTCGTCAAATATGGATATGCTCGTATTTAATTTGACTTCGATCCGATCGCGATTATTCTTGGCTATCTCAGATATGCGAAGCATCGTGAGCGATTACACCGGCGTCACTGGAAGGCGATGGTATTCGTATCATTTCGCAGCACGAACCAGCCTAATATCTAGGAAATTCAAACATTGGAAATGACGTAAAAATCCACTTCCATCTCGCTTATGCACATGTAGATGCCTGACAAGGAGCATGGTCCCAACAGTAGCGGATGGTCCGGGGTCATATGCCGCCATGAAATAGAATAAACCATATGCCCATCTTTAGCTTCCACTAGTTTTACAGGGTATAGTGTTTGCCAATCGGGATAAAATACAACCTTGACGTGCGCAGGACGCGTTTGTTTCATTATTGACACCACAATTCAACTTTGCTAGAGACGTGAACTTGGGCAACAACATCTGAAAATACACTGGACCAACATACCTTTTAAATGTCGTCTCGTCCTGACCTGAAGGTGACATCCACAAAAATATTTAAGAAACTACCCGTAATGTCACTAATGCAAATAGGTGGATGATGAAGGTGGTTTCATCAGATTTTTCAAGAACCTAAGTAATGATGACTCGGAAAATATACGAATCTTTGATCGAGGCGATTACTACACTTCACATGGGGATGATGCAGTTTTTATCGCACGAACAGTCAGTTTCCATTGAAAAAATTAAGAGTGACTTCCTTGTTAACGACAGCCCGACGATCAGGTTTATAAAACGACATCTGTGATACGACAATTGGGAAAGAATGACTCGACTGGACTTCCGTCAGTCACAATGACAATTACTGTTTACAAGAGCTTTCTCCGAGAGGCACTGTTCCGACTAGGCAAGAAAATTGAAGTATGGACAAATCAGGGACGAAATACTTGGACCATCGCAAAGAAAGCGTCACCTGGCAACCTTCAGGACGTTGAGGAAGAGATTGGAGCTCATATTGATGCTGCCCCTGTCATTCTTGCTGTTCAATTATCAGCAAAAGCTTCTGAATCTCGAACGATCGGTGTATGCTTTGCAGATGCTAGCGTCAGAGAACTGGGTGTCAGTGAATTCTTGGAAAATGACTCGTATTCGAATTTTGAATCGCTGCTTATCCAGCTTGGTGTCAAAGAATGTTTGCTACCTACAATAAAAACAGAGAGCAATTTAGACCTGAAAAAACTTAAAAGTGTCATCGAAAACTGTGGGATAGCCGTATCTGAGCGACCAGCAATTGAATTCTCTTCTAAGGATGTCGAACAAGATTTATCGAGACTTTTAAAAGGTGAAGATGCTGTGGGGACTTTGCCCCAGACCGATCTGAAGCTTGCCATGGGCTCTGCTGCCGCTTTGATAAAATATCTTGGGGCACTAAATGACACATCCAATTTTGGCCAGTACCAATTGTACCAGCATGATCTCTCCCAGTACATGAAACTTGATGCCTCCGCCTTGAAAGCATTAAATCTTATGCCAGGTCTCCGGGATGGTGCTAAAACAATGTCGCTTTATGGTCTACTCAATCATTGCAAGACACCTATGGGCAGTAGAACCCTAGCTCAATGGCTCAAGCAGCCATTAATGGACAAAGAGGAAATAGAAAAGCGTCATCAGCTCGTCGAAGCATTTTTCGAGTGTTCTGAATTAAGACAAACGATGCAAGAAGAACATTTCCGGTCTATCCCAAACCTTTCTCAGCTTGTGAAGAGATTTCAGAAGAAAACGGCTAACCTTGAGGATGTCGTACGAGCCTGGCAATTGGCTACAGCTCTCCCTGGTTTTATTATGACTCTCGAAAGAGTAATGGATGAGAAGTATAAAGATACCTTAGATACAACATATACGAATAAACTACGAGAGTACGCAGGAAGTCTTGAAAAGTTGCAGGAAATGGTGGAGACCACAGTTGACTTAGACGCAGCTCAAAATCATGAATATGTAATCAAGCCCGAATTTGATGATGGCCTACGAACTATTCGAAAAAGGATAGAAAAGGTGAGGAGTGAGATGAATCATGAGCACAGGGCCGCGGGAGTAGACCTGAACCAAGATATCGAAAAGAAATTACTGCTAGAGAACCACAAAACACATGGCTGGTGTATGAGGCTCACGCGAGCAGAAGCAGGATGTATCCGGAATAAAAAAAATTATCAAGAATTTTCAACTCAGAAAAATGGGGTCTATTTTACGACGTCGAAGTTACAGAGCCTCAGACGAGAGTACGACCAACTCTCCGAAAACTATAACCGCACACAGTCGAGCTTAGTACACGAGGTTGTAGGCGTAGCTGCATCATACAGTCCAGTGCTTGAGCTGCTAGCAAGTGTGCTTGCTCATCTTGATGTCATTGTCGCATTGGCTCACTGCTCTGTCCATGCGCCCACTGCCTATGTACGACCCAAAATCCATCCTCGCGGTACGGGGAATACAATTCTTAAAGGAGCTCGGCATCCATGTCTAGAGATGCAGGACGATATCCAATTCATTACAAACGATGTCACACTTCAACGAGGCTCGTCTGAATTCCTTATTATTACGGGACCCAATATGGGCGGAAAATCTACATATATCCGACAGATCGGAGTCATTGCGCTAATGGCGCAAGTAGGTTGCTTTGTGCCATGTTCTGAGGCTGAACTGAGTATCTTCGATTGTATTCTTGCGCGTGTCGGGGCTAGCGACTCGCAGCTCAAGGGCGTATCAACTTTTATGGCGGAAATGTTGGAGACCGCCAACATTTTACGGTCCGCAACATCTGAGTCACTGATCGTCATTGATGAGCTTGGTCGTGGCACCTCTACCTACGATGGATTCGGTCTGGCTTGGGCAATTGCGGAATACATTGTGCGCGAGATCGGATGCTTTGGGCTCTTTGCCACGCACTTTCACGAGCTCACGGCACTTGCTGACACGTACCCTCAAGTGCAGAATCTACACGTTGTAGCACACGTCGATACTGTGGGAACTGAAGCTGGCGCTACAGCTAGCGCTTCCGCCGTTACTCTACTGTACCAAGTGGCACCAGGCGTATGTGACCAGAGCTTCGGTCTTCACGTTGCCGAGCTCGTGCGCTTTCCAGAAAAGGTAGTGCGCATGGCCCAGCGCAAGGCCGCTATTTTAGAGTCCACTGCTATTTCAGAAGAGCCCGCAGATACTGTAGCTGGTGCGGCACTCCTCCATAAAGTTTTAAAACGCTGGCGTTCTGCATGTATGGATGCAGGCGAAAGCTGGGGTCGTGAGGAGCAAACACAGTGTCTACGTGATCTAGTTGCAGCAGATACAGCGCTTACAGCACATCCGTTTTTTCGTGACGTATGCTCTTTATAGCGAGATTGAACAGTCACGATAAAGATAGTACCTTGGTAGTCGTATTTATCCTTGGCGTAAGGAGTTTGAAAAAGGAGAAACGGCAACTTAAAAGTCTGCCAGTGATTCCCGTTTCATAAAACTGTGTGCTGGTGCTAATTAAACGGAGAACGGTCATGTGTTGGAAGGCGGCTGATATAAGGCAATTTGTAGCAATGAAAGATCGACGATTAAGGCAGCATATAAATTTGATTTCAACATTAATAAACTAACACTAAGTTGCAAGGCACTAGTTAGCTGCACAGTTCGATTTTCATCTAATATTAACGGGAATCTCACGAAAGTTTGCAAGGCAGTCTACCAAGGAACCTTAGCACCTATGTTGAGACCTGTCAAGGTACTTCTTAGTAATTAGCAGCTAAATAAGCCAAGGACTAAGCACCTTTCCTACGGAAAAATCTCTTGATACGTACACTAATTTTAATGAAAATTATCTCTTGCGCTACCAAGTTGAACTTGTGCCAGGGGTAGACAATTTGTACTTCTTAATAGAGACTACAACCACTGAACAGGACAAGGTAACTGTATACGTAAGATCAGCTCCTATCTTTTGCCAGAAACTTAGTGCGTCCAACTTGGTGATCGACTATTTTAAAGATTTAATAACTAGCAGATGAATTCAACATTTTAAGAGCGCAGTTTAACCTATGTTTTCATATCGCGTGCTATAACTCGGTTGGAAAAATGAAAGGATTTTCAAGGTTGAAATATAGTTAGAGGCCGCAAGAATTTAGTCTTTTCAATCGAGAGGCCCAAAAACTAAGAGACCGCAGTCATTTCATTGACAACGGTAGCTATTTGTTTAGAGAAATCAATAGGCCAATGGCAGCGGTAGAATGGATCTTGTGAAAATTGATGCGACAGTGGCTAAGTATTAGCCGGTATAGCCGAACGTCTTGGAGAAACTCCCTTCTCTTGAGATTTAGTTATGCGTGGGTACGGGATCTGGCCCCATCTTTCCACCTCCTTTCTGCCAAAGCCATATAGCTTCGATAGCGTACGCCTTGCTACCTTGATGCCCACATTCCATAGATGCAGCTTCTTCCAATGTCGAAATTACATGAGTTTCTCTAAGACAGGACCATAGGCCTCGGGAAATATCGCTGTCCTCACCATTCCATTCGCCTCTCCCTAGACGATAGAGTAACCGGCCGAGAGTCTGGAAAGCGATGCATCTCTGTGCAGGATACGCTGAGCGGGCAAGATGAGCTAGTTCTGGAATGGTATAGCCTGCTGCTTCTGGTGCATCGCCATGATGATGAAGTCCTTTAGTGACGGGAACTGCCCGTGCAATACGCGGGGGAAGAATACCACCCCGAAAACTGAAGCGTAAGGCGGATGCAGGAAGATCAGATTGACCGGGATGGTAGGATGACTTTTGGTCAGCAGCAGAGCCATGAGCTGGTAAGGGGGCCATCCAAGCAAGTTTGGATGGATCTACTGGTAGTGAAGGAAAGTATTTAGAATGTAGTGTCTCAAGAAACGCCGGATCGGATGGATCTAGATCGGGCGTTGCAGCACCCGTGGGAAAGTGGATCGATGGCCGAATTATTGTCGGAATTGGGTATTCAGAGGCGGGATGAATATCGATTGGTGTCTGTGTTTCATCATCAAAATTTGATTTTAGATCTCTCGTTGCTTTTATCTTCTCAGTTGACTCTTGAGTTGGATTTCTTTCTGACGTGCCGAATTGGTGGGAAGTCTTCTCTGATTCTTCGGATTTTTCATTTGATAAATAGCTACTGTCCACAATATTCTCTTGTGGCTCTGTTCCTGTATCGCCGCGTCCTTGGTCAAGGTTAGCTCGTTTTAATAGCCGTTCAATCAAACTCGGATCCAGGCGCGTAAATAATTCTTGTCTTTCCGCTTCGATTTCGTTTGTAGACATGGAATTAAGTATTTGCTGGTTTTCTTGGCCGATACTGAGCCGTTCGGCATGGCTAACCTCAGATAATCCCAACAACTCCGATGTGACAGATACGCTAGTGGGGATCTGTTTCGGTCTCGGCTCACTGCCCGTGACGCCGGAAGAGGATTTTGAAAATCTCCCGGCTCGTTTCTTAGGTTGGGGAAAGCCTTTATTCTGTGACTTTAAGGTGGGGGCAGAGACCTCACTAAAAACAATTGACTTTTCCTGGATATCACGTATCATTACTGACGACGGAGTTTGAAGCGTTTCAGGCCCAATGGACTCTATAGCCTCGGTATCAAGGTTAAGCAGAAATCTCTTCCCTGGTAAATCCATTAGAATTGAAAGGGTGGGGTTGAGAGTGCGATTATGCTAAATAGTGAAATTGCGGTTGCGACAAGCATCACAGAGGCCTTCGATAATGTCGCCGTTACAGAGACGCGCGCTATGTCAAGTGTGCGCTCTAGCCTCGCGAGCGCTATCTTGGCGCACCGTTTAAATTTGGTAGACGCGCTATTGAAACTATGTAAGTAACCCCGAGAAAGAAGGTTGATGACTCAGCCTTCCCCGGGTCCAGCCTAAGTTGGACTAGTGTAACGCCATAAATGTCAAGCTAAATGCTGTCTTGCACAGTGCTCGGCGAGGAGCAGCAGAAGAGAGACATAGGCAGAAGCAAAGGTAGATATAAACAGACACTGGATAGATGCAGAGTTCGATTATTTTTAGCCTCTCTCCCTCTATTTGTACCCCCTGCTTCGATCCGGCCACATATTCTGGTCCCGCGCACTTGGTTTCTCTTCGTAACCAGCGATCAAGCTCCGCCTCGCTCCAGTGCAACCACAGCTGCCGCTATTGCTGCTGCTGTTGCTACTGGTATTACTGTTGCTACTACCACTTCTTAGCTCGCTTGCAGGCAATTTCACTGGCCTTGTTGTCCGATTACCTTTCCCTTTCTCCCAAATCTTTCGTTCTATTTCTGATTTTACATACTCCAATACCACCAAGCACCACCCGTTCTCCATTCAACCCCCTCCTTCTCTACATCAAATACGATTTCCTGCGCCTCTGCGTTTAACAACTGTCGACTGCGTAACATCCTTCCATCGAACAACACTCCTAACTTCTTATTCTTCCCCTCCATTTCCTTGTTACCAATCATTGCTCCCTCAAGTCTCGCCACAATTAACACCCCGACAACCCGTTCGGCCCCCATACCCGTCGCTCCCCGTGCTCTATTTTATTTCTTTTGGCACACCTATCGCTTCCGTCCCCGAAAATTGAGTGACTGTGTTAATGATAGTTGTTGGTGAGGCTATTCACATTTTAACACTTTCAACTACTCACTATCTGGCCCCTATTTTCAACTCTTATAACCTGACAAACATCAATATTGTCACAATACGATTAATAAGCCTGAGAACCTAGGAAATGAGCTCCGCATTTACGATCATTTAGGTCCCGGCGCGAATCTGATCATGTCAATCTCTCACACATCTCGTAAGCTCGTTGATATCGGAGCAGCTGCTCAAATTCAATCGCCACAAATGAGCTCTGAAGGTTTATCATCGCCGCCTCGCTCAAGTCCAGAAATTGCATCACCGCCCGTACAGGTTGTCAACGAATTCTCACCGACTTCCATTCTTCCAGAAGCAACAACATCATCTTCTACTATCCCTAGCAACTCTACAAATCCTCCAGAATCCGGGCCAATCCCTCCAGAAAAGCCACCACCTCGGCGTAAGCTTGGAAGAAAACCAAAGGAGATTGGTACCCTCTCGCCAGTCCCATATGAATGGAAATAACCTCTACTAACACATTCAAATAGTGCCTGGGACAGACGCTCCAAAGCCAAAGCGAGTTCGCAAGCCTAAAGATCCAAATGCTCCTCCCCCACAGCGGCGCAAGAAGAACCCCCCTAACACTGAATTCATACCCCATGTTGTCGATACCAAGCCACCTGCAACTGCTGGGAAAACATCTTACATAGTTCCGGAACCCATACCATCAACTCAGACATTCCATGCTACAGCCCCTATCGTTCCGACTCAAAAAGAAGATGTCTCGGGACCCATTCAATCTTTCTTTCACTCAGGCGCTCCAACTCAACCAGTCTCTAACCAAGGTTCAGTTACCATTACCCGGGCTCAACCTGTCCGCACAAGTGGTCAAAACTATGACCCTATTCGATCATCAAATTATGACCCTGTTCGTGAAACTGTCAATACAGCATCTAGCAACGATAACAATTCTTACGTGATAAACTCCCACATATCCTCTAATCAACCTCATCACACCAATTATGCAAGTTCTGCACCCTCCATTTCTAGTCTCGTCGACCCACCTTTACAATTGCAAACCATCCCTTCAACAGGGACAATATCGTTTTTCAACCATCAGACGTCGCAACCGCGCACAGGAGATAGCTCATTTGCGCCTGTATCTCCAAAACAAGCGAAGATAGCTCTTCCTCAAGATGCATCTACAATTAATCAGCAGCCATCTGCTATGCCAACGAAAAAACTTGATAATCCGGCACCAACTACAACAACCATATCAATAACTTCTGCCTCCCATTCTTCCAAGAAAAACACAACCTCTAGTATCAGTGCAACAGCATCCCCTAAATCTGCAAAAAACAAAGACACCAAAGATACAAAAGATTCTCATGACATTCTGTACCCTGTCCCTCCACCCCTTCCTGGGTCAGGTAATGACGTGAACGATGGCACCGAGTATCGTGCACCAACTGTGATTCTTAATATACCAATAAATGGTGAAGTTAACAAATACGTAAACTTCACGCGCTTGGCAGAGCAACAATACGGTTGGGATGCTTTACACCCACGTCTTGCTGCACAGCGCGATCGATTAGCCAGAGTAGCAGCTGCTGGGGCAGCCCTTGAACGTAACGGTTCCAACAAGGATAGTGGTGATGAGATGTCACTCGACTCGGAAGCAGAGGGTAGCAACGCTGAGATGGGTGGTTTGAGTGATACCCGGCCCTGTCCCGATGGTGCTCGAAAGGTACCCAAAAAAAGAAAGATGAGGGAAGACGAATACGACAAAGATGATGAATTCGTTGATGATACTGAACTACTTTGGGAAGAACAAGCTGCTGCCACAAATGACGGCTTTTTCGTCTACTCAGGCCCTCTCATTCCTGAGGGCGAAAAGCCAACTTTGGAATCACGGTAAGGATTTTTTCCCTGAATACAAGTCAATGAAAATATGTCTAATCAAATACAGAGCTGATGGCGCCCCTAAGCGTGGCCGGGGACGAGGTAATCGTGGTGGCACTACTCGAGGTACTAACACACGCGGAGGTACAGCTGCATCTAGTGGTACTACGCGAAGTAATCTCCCGGCTTCTGGCCCAGGCTCGCGTGGTGGATCAACGGCGCGGAAACCCCGCATCACAAAAGCTGATCGGATCCGGATGGAGCAAGAAAAACTCGAACGGGAAAAAGCCGGTCAAGTATCGACTCCTTCGAGCCTCAGTAGTACGGTGCCATCGAGCGCCTTACCCACGGAGAACATACCTGTCATTCCTAGTCAGTGAGAGTGTTTTCATGTATACAGTTATGTACTTCATCTTTAAGTGACGATTTCTACGGAAAAGGCGTGAGGAATTTGTTTTAGGATTTTCTGTTAGAGTTCACAATGGCGTTACCAGGGAATATTGGCGAACTGAACTCTGAGAGCAGTGTTTTGACTTCCTGCTATGGACAATTCTGTATCATAATTAGTCTTTGTTACTGAAAAATTTCAGTCTAGTAAGAATTTACTGTTTAGGAAATATCGCCCAGCTACTTAAAAATATTTTATGTCGACACGTCATTCTCATCTACAGGCAAAGATAATAAGAAATTTTGAACTTTGAGTTGGCGAAGAAGACGTAACCCCCAACGCTCGTATTGGAATGATAATACCCTTGTAAATAGTACTGCAAGAATCACACATTACAACTGTTGGAAATATCGCGCAATGAAGTGGGCGCGATACTTCTTGACGAAAGAAGAATTTGAATAAAAGAGTATCACGTTTGGAATACTACTAAAAGAGTGGGAGGTGTGTGCTACAAGTACAACTGTAAGCTACAAAAAGTCCAAGCCACACCACAAACGGTTATGGCGCCTTCCAAGCATAGAGAGCCCCCAAATAACCTCCCTGTACCTACGCCATACTGCCGCTCACATATCCGTCAGGTAGCCTGAAGCGCTACCATGTTATTCATTCCAACCTCTCAAATACACAGAAGATCGTATGGGGAACCTAGAAGAAATGGAGGGCCCTTACTTCCACAACACCCTGTGTCTCCATTTCCAACGTTATCCATGGAATTTTCTCCGTGCGAAATGTGGTCTGGTCTAGTGAAGTAGCATAAGCTATTTGTCCACAACTTACAAGTGTGAGTAAATTGGGAGCTAAAGTCTTCCACCAGAAGAAATAGAGGGCAAGTCGTGATCTGATGCGAGCACGGGCTCGAAATTGTCTTCACAAAGAAGAGATATAATATCTAGAATGAGAATAGTATTTAGAAGACGTTGCGTGAAGAAGACAACTCGCCTGTAGGCTACGCTTTATTATGTACATGCTTGTATTTCACTGTTACATTAGCTTACCCAACTCAGGCCTGCAAGATTTGTATGCTAATAGTAATCTATAATTCTAATCTTTATGACCATTCAATAAAAACAACTCCTTCGCGAAGTCTAAAAAATTACGTCATCCCGAACGTGTTAAACTCTTGCAAAATTGTCCTACCTCTCAATTCGATTTAAAGAAATAAGACACCACTGGCAATTAATTCACACTTTTGCATGATATCATAGATACCGGCTTTCCCTCGGCAGCAGCTTTATTTGAGTCGTCTTCTTTGTCTTTACTCCAACATTCGCCCTCCATGCCTTCCAGGAACGTGTCAGAGCGTAAGAATGACAAAGGAAAAGCCAAGAAACTCACTTCTCCTAGACCGGAGAACGTTACAGCTCCAATTTTTCACAGTTATCGACTCTAATTCTTCTAAAATAAAGGCCTGCGATAGTATTTGTTGGTCGTCTCACAGGTCAACATAATATGTTGGTTTGCTACACAGATACAGATATAGATTCATGAGATTGCTTAATGAGAGACTAGGATTGATTCCAATCTTATTTAATAGAAGACTTTATTAAAGTCCTAGAGGTTTATCTGAAATGATAGAAGTGAACGTTGACCGTCAAGTCAATATTGTACGATTCGTAAGATATTGGGGATTTCAGGATCAGAGATAAAAGGTTAGGATCAGGGAGGTTTTTGGTTTTACTGAACTGATATTTTGTTGGTTTTAAAATGTTGGGCTTTTATCTAGATCTAATTATCTATATGACCTCCATCTTTAGGTTGGATGGTGCAGTGGTATACCATCCAGGCCGTTCTCCCGAGTAGATACTGGGTTATTTGAACACCTACTCCATTCGTGACAGGAGAGACCTGGTTTGAACCCAGCAAAACCCACACACCTCACACTCTCTCGCAGTGATGTTGTTCGCATGGCATGATGAATGCACACTCGGATAGCCACAGGTTTTCGACGCTTTTCCCTGTGGCGGTATGCACGGAAGAGGTTATACACCGTAAAGGTTAACCTCGAGTGGTATCTGCAAATGAAATCTGAGTGTTAATATACTGTATGTCAAGTCGAGTCATCCTACTTCAAGTAAATGTCTTCCGATAAAAACCTGCATGGGCCTCAAGGCGCTAAATCAGGCAAAAATGAATTATATATGTAAGCAGACTTGTGCTTGCATAAGTCTGGATCCAGTCCAAAAGCGAAAGCACGATCTGCGTGCAGGCATGTCAGACTAGTAATGATGATCAGGGGCATCGATAGGGTAGAACTAGATATTATAGTGCTACGATGGACTCGTAGCACGGAGATAATTAATCAATTCATTCTTGTATTCGCTTTTACCTTTTGACAATTCATGTGACATTCGCACGAAGACCTCTCTAAGTTTTACATGGTAGCATTATTCTTGGTTGATTCAAACGAAAATTCGACGGTAGAAGACTCAATTGGAGCTTTGATATATCGTGGACAAATTGTTTGTGACAATTTTGGAGAGGAATTTTAATCTTGTGAAATGTCGGCCTTTGGATTATCGAAGGCGGATCGAGAAATCGCTGCTCAAGGCACCGATTTGAATGAGGCCGCTGTGGAAAAGAAGGGGTCGGGTAAAAGTGTTGCTGGTCGCTCTGGTTGTGTGCCGGGCAACTTTAGCAATGAGTTCGACTTGGCATCGAACGAAGTTTATAGCGAATGTCTGATGTCTGCACCAAGAACAAAAAGTTCAGATAAACGATCCACCGAAAGAAAGGATCGGGACGAAGATGAATGTTGCAAAAAGATTTCAGGGCAAGCTGCATTTTCAAGGCCGTCGGATCGATATGGTGAATACAGAGACTCACCAAATGACGAAGATGCAGGTGCAGGATGGGACAGGCCTGCCGTTACAGCATCAAGGAACGGAAGCAAAACCTTGCTGGAATGGAATCTTTTTGACTGGAAACCACCCCAGTCGGATTTCCTAAGAGGAATTGGAAATTGGTCTATGTACCGAGAGGCGGTGTTATTGCAACTAGAATGCATCGGGTACGAAGCCGGTATGAAATTGACACCGTTGGACGAGGTGAGACTCGCCGCTGTTATTCAGCGAACCACAACTGCAGAAACAAGGAGCCTAGTTATAGGTATGAAACGAGGCACAGAAATGATGAGGTTGTTTGAACGAACCTACCGGCAAGTTGGCGAAATACAACAAGAAGCCATTTGGGGAAACCTCATCGCTCTCAAGTATACAGGAGGGTGTCCAGTAGAGTATGTCACGAAGTTCAAGACAGTGGTTAGGGACTACATGTCCACGGGTGGGACTTTGGATGAAAGGCAAATCTTAATAATCTTTAAGCAATCGACCAAAGAAGAAGCTGGAGGATGGAACGCCATGGTTTCTACAATAGCACGCTTTCAAAACTGGTCGGTGGAGAGCCTCATTCAAGATTTTATCTCTCATCACTATGACAGGATCGGAGGATCAATCAAAGTGGATAAGCCCAAGAGGACTGAGTCAAAGAAAAATTACCACAACATTCAATATAGGGAAAGCTTGAGTGATCGAGAAAAGTCTGAGAGAAAGACGAATGAAGACAATCCTTGGAAGAAATCTTTCATTCGTTGCTATAAGTGCAAAGAAGAAGGGCACATCGCCAAAAATTGTCCCATGAGAAAGAAAAGTGAAGCATACAGTTCCTATACTACATATGGACAAACAGCAAATGAAATAGGTCCACCGGCTGCAATTGCCCAGGAATACTGCCAGATTCCTGAAGAATTTGTTGGGAGTAGCTTTGCTGCTAATGGAAGGCCCACAGGTCTACGAAGACATGGTCTCGTTTTACGACAACGAGATGGCACATCGTCGTGGTGAGGTGGTGGTTGATAAAGAACCGCCGGAGTCAGGAGCACCAGAAATGTCTATCGAATGTTGCCGGCAGATCCTGAGTGGTTCAGGGGATACTAGGGTCGCAAACTTCCAGCTCACGGTCAATGATGCCAATTTAGATGCAAATCATCGTCGGAAATATTCTAAGCCGGGCATATGTGCTGAGCTGAAGCCTCCGGAATATCAAATCCTGACTGGAAACAGAACTGATCGCGCGAAATTTGTTAGCGACGTTTGTATACCTGAAGTTCTAGATTCTCTTGTATCACCCGAAGTGATAGAGCGTGAGAGAGTTGGCTATGGTCCAGACAATAAGCCGCAGCAAATGTCGACAAGAGGGCGCGGTCGGCTCAAGCGCACCATTTCATGGCCCTGTGGAAGTCAGCAGATGATAGATTCAGACGCTTCGCCGGATTTGGGTAAGAAGATAGGAATAGCTCTGCGTAAAATAGATAAAGTTTTGTCTTTCGAGGCGATTAAAGAGAACGAAAGACGCAAGTGGACAGTGGCTCGCAGCCAGAAAACCCAAGGCTGTTCATCCCAAGGAACCTGTAAGGCCGTATCCCGAAAAGCCATGAAGGATAGAGGGCGTCTTGGAAAACCGAAATGGACATTGAAATTGGCGTCGAAGAAGAAACGCGAATCAAACGTGAGACCGGACAAGCATAGAGCTATAGTACTGACTGCGGGTTGTAGTCGGACTGAAGAAGATGACTCCAATGAAGATTCATTCTGACACTCACCTGAGTAACTAGGATTTATGGACGGATCTTTGCCTTAGGACTGAGAGGGCGTGTAAGCAGACTTGTGCTTGCATAAGTCTGGATCCAGTCCAAAAGCGAAGGCACGATCTGCGTGCAGGCATGTCAGACTAGTAATGATGATCAGGGGCATCAATAGGGTAGAACTAGATATTATAGTGCTACGATGGACTCGTAGCACGGAGATAATTAATCAATTCATTCTTGTATTCGCTTTTACCTTTTGACAATTCATGTGACATTCGCACGAAGACCTCTCTAAGTTTTACAATATATATATATATCTTCTACCTCGCTTAGGTAGAAACTTCATGTTCTGATTACGTTATGGAATAACATTTCTACCACCGGGATCATTAGCAACCGAGACCTCACCAAAACCGGTAGCAACCGAAGATGAGTTGTCTTTGTCGCCTCTGCACTGCGTGCAATTCGGTCTGGCCTGCCTAGATTTCAACAGACTTGTCCCAACCATCAGAGGCCTACAACGTCCTTATCTATCTATAGTTAACTCCCATATTTCCCTCAAAAAGGTAGCTATACAGAATCTAGCACATAAAACTTGGTTCGTATTGTCATTTTGGGGTTGAGTTTATCCGTGTGTATTGCTCCTTGGGTCACATGTCTGCTTATTATGCAACACACTCAGGTCTCAATCCAATAACCCGTACCTCTCTCTAATGCATGGATGGATGACTCGGTATGTCTGAATGGATCTATTAGTAGTATCCCGAGAATGGGTGTAATACATCAATGGAGTGAAGAGCCTTGGCGATTAGCTGTAAAGGTGTAGGTGCTACGTTATACGCTATCATGTAATTACAAAATTGCCTTGCACACGTAGTTGGAAAGTAGCAATGGCAAAGCCTCCAGGGCAGTAAGGATTGGCGTCCATGCCTCTAGTTAGTTTAGTAGGTAGTAGTGACCTGAGCCAAGGCTTGGCGCCTCGAGGGACGATAAATAGAAAACAAACAAACCTCTCTCTGATGCTGACATCCAGGAAGAACTTGCAACAACAAGAATTGACACAATATCGATTTTCTCTGTTAGTTGGACCCGAAATTAACTTGAATCCCTAAATGGGAAGGGACTCCGACTAGTAATTGTAGAGCAGGTGTAGATAAGCTCCCTACCAGCGTCCGCTTATTTTCCTGGTCCTCTAAACTTCGTCCGGCCGACAATCGCCCACGTCTACATGTCTGCCCACGCTGCCACGGGTTTCACAATATTAAAGCCTGCACCCGTACAGCTCTTTGCGGAAATTGCGCGTCAGACTTCCATAATGGACCGTGCGCGACTCCCACCAAGTGTTTGAATTGTGCAGGCACTCATGCCACCTCAGCTCCCAGACGTCCAGCCTGGTCTTTTTAAGCCTACGGAGTATTTGTTCGCCCTGACAAGGAAAGAATTCTGATTGTGCGCCAGGAGGGACACAAGTTCTGGCTCGCTTTTAATCCCCCTCGCCCCCTTCTGACCCCCTCATTGAGTCTTTATTGGCACAACCCTCGTGCATCAGAATTCCAGCTGCTGTTCTAACAGTAGGCTCGGCATCTAGGTTTTCTCCCATGATTTCCCTTGAGAAGGAACAACGAGGGACCTAAACCGGGTTCGAAGAAGACAGAAGACTGCAAGTCTCTGCTTCTTCGAGATCAATGTAGCTAGATGTGGCCCTGCTCATGATACCGCCCTAGAACTTTCCTCTGACTATGGGGCTGATATGGTACTAATCCAAGAACCCTGGGTATCCACAGATCTAACACGTAGAATAATAAAAACCCATTCGAGCTCCAAGGCTTCTCTCCAATTCCTAACTGGACGGTCTAGCCTCAAGTGATGATGTATATCCGCAAGGGATAAGGATTATCTCATTTCCAGTTGGCTATACATTCTCGGGGTCTTCTGCAGGTCCGGATTTCACGAAGGAACAAACAAGTCGTTGAATGTTGGAATGTCTATAATGCTCCAACTAGAGAAATTGATCCCGGGGAGGACCTTCAGCATCTAATAACTACCACTGGAAATCCGGATATTCTTATAGGAGACTTTAACACCCACCACTCGTCCTGGGATCCGAAAGCTAGGAGTGACAGTGTGCAAGGTAACTCTTTACTCTACTCGACAGCCTCGAGATGACTCAGACTCTTGAATCAACAGGGAACTCCTACACATGACGCCGGTGCAGCTCTCGACCTACATTTTGTGCGGAACAACGTGAGTGCTTCTTGCGAAATTCGACAAGACCTGGAAGTCGGCTCTGATTATAGGACAAACCTATGTCAAGTATTTGATTGAGAAGCCGATAAATCTGTACCAGATAAGCTTCAATTTGCCGCCTGTAACTGGGGAATATTTCAAGACCTCGTGACAAATCGGCTTGCAACACCCCCCCCCCCCCATATCATTGAAGAGAAGGCCGCAACCATTGTCGATATCATCTCAGGAGCTCTCCTTGCTATCTGTCCAAAATTACTCAAATAAGCAACAAAAGCTAGCTGGTGGAGTTAGGAATGCACTCAAGCCCATTTAAACTTTTGCAGAGCTTGTTACTGTCAGGATCTCTTGGGCCTTGGTTACTTAACTTGAACTAGATGCGATAAATCTTGGGCTCTTGATGGTAAAGAAAATATAACAACAATAAAGACTTGGTTCTTGATTCTTGATTCTTGGGTATCTAGGGAATAATACAAGACTGAAAGCTGGAGAGCTTTTGATATGAAGATACCTCAGCTACTTATACTACAACACTATCTGCTACAGACTACAGTAATCTAGTTCCAGCCCGATTCCTGTCGAACTCCTGAGAGTAAGCTAGAATCTGATCGAAGCCCATTGAGCTGGTAAGAGTACAAAATACCATCCCGAAACATCTAGAAACTAATTGCCAGAGTAGCTTAGAATTCCATCTAAGTAACTAGAACTTGTTTAGATGGATACCAGCCGATGCTAGGATCCGACTCTACCTCAACACCATGAATCTACACATGACATAGCAGTAGCCATATAGTCTTAGAGCCAGAGGTTGGCAGGATACCATCTCCACATCAGTCAGTCCGTGACAGTTACGCAGGTCTATCAGCAACTTCTGAACGACGTGCCCTTGGCAAAGTAGTGAGGAGATCAAAGCGGGTATTCTGGCACAACAAATTAGAGCAAGTCTCCAACCTTAAAGAGGCCTACCAAGTCACGTGCTGGCATAAAAGAGAGGCGCACTACTAAACCCCTCCCCTAGAGGGACCATCAGGCCCGAAATTCCATCCTGTAGAGAAGGCGCAGCTCTTCTAGGAAGCATTTCTTAGCAGGCATCTTAATCAAGTAGATTTTGATGATGTAATCCCTAAAGTGGTAAAAATATCTATTGTGTGGCCTCTGCTGACAGACGTAGAGATCTACAACTCGTGCTGCACTGTCCCGACATCTGCTCCTGGGCCTGATAATATTATCACAATAGTACTTTGGCGCGCCCAGCCAATAATCGAACCTAGAATAATCTCTTTATTCTACCAATGTAATGATTGGGAGATACACCCTAGCGCATTTTCACGGATCCGTAATTAGAATTTTAATACTAATTTTAACTCGTGATAAGATGAAGGGGTAGTTAATTAAAACCATCAATTTAATAATAGCTTCCCCTATACAATTAGTCATGTAAAACGTCATGTAAGGATATACAAGAGATTCATGAAGAAAAGGACAAGAACATAGCCATTAATGCGAAGATATTGGCAACTATTGATTACGATTAATTCCGGCTGGCAAATGCTACTACTCTTGTATATAATAGTCCAGCGTGAGAGAGGTTTACTCCTCACGCAACGTCTTCTTTATCTACCCTTTACAATACATTTGTTCACCCATCTCTTCTTCGGGAGGACCATATATCCATTGCCCAGTTCTTCATCAGCAAGACCCACGTGTAACATCTACAGCAACTAGTTGCCCATTCATCTCTTCCTAGAGAAGACCTGTCATCACTTTGACCCATTTATAATCTTCACTTACCACCTAGATCTTCACTAGGTTATACAACGCACCCCGTGGAACACTGTCAAACCCTCATCCCTGAGACGCATCTAAGAAGGCTAACATTGTTATAATACCAATTTCTGGAAACCTTAACCGAGCTCTCCCAACATCATACCGCTCAATCTCTCTTCTATCGTGCCTTAGCAAGGGATTGGAGAGATTTATATCGCGTCTTCTTTCATCCCTAACGCTGAGACATCAGATTCTTTCCCGGGATTAGTGTAGCGCAGTCCCACGGGGATCAGCTACCGATCTCACCACTGCATTGTCTTGCAATATTCAGGACGCCTGAACCAAAAAACATGTAGCCGGAATGGTTAGTGTAGATGACAAAGGTGTATTTCATGTAATTCAAAAAGGCCGCCTATTTCAGTACCTATGGGGTCAAGGACGGCACTTCAATGTAGTACAATGGGTGTCTTCTTTCATATCCAATCGAGAAGCCTCAATCATGCTGGATGGAACTATATCTCCGGTGCTCAAGATATATTACGGACTTCTACAAGGGTCCCTAGCTTCGCCTATCTCATTTCTATTGGTAATTGAAGGTATGCTCTATCTCTCTCCAAAGCGTTTTGCCTATGCAGACGACGTTGCATTTACAGCGTCCGCACCGAATGTCGCCCACTGCAGAGAGTTATTTCAAACGCAGTTATCTATGACCCTCGCCTGGGGACGTGAGAACAGCATCGCCCTTGAATTATCGAAAACGGAACCACAATACTTTCACTGAAAGCACGGATCTCCACTAGAACCTAGTGTTTATGCAGATGAAGTTGAGATCACACCAAACGCCCACATACAATGGCTTGGGATCATCTTTGATCGAAGCCTCTGATTTAGAGAACATGTCAGACAAGCCTGCGGAAGATCCTGGGCTGTTACAAGCCACATTAAAAGTCTTTCGAAATCCACTCGAGGAATGAGCCCTCTACTATTGAAGCAAGCGCTCCAAGGAGCAGCATTTGCGACCTTGCTCTACAGGGCTGTGGTATGATATTCCAAAGGAAGTCCAAAAGGACTGGTCCTTTGGATCTAATAACAGATGAACGGTGATACTCGTGCAGCACTTCCTATATTCCGTAATACACCAATAGCTGTTCTTCGGGAAACAGGTTAGGGGCCCGCAAAAGCCTGGCTCGAGCGCAAACACAATCGCCTCGCCCTACGCACTGCGGCAGCAGATCCTAGATACCCTCTTTGTAGATGGTGGAATTCTTCGAGAATGTGCAGGATCCGAGAACGGATTTCCCCGGAGCTCTCAGAGGATAACATCCCTTCCCCTTGGGACATTAGACGCAATGAATGTTTGGAGAAGATAGGCGCTATTAGCCGAACAGCGGGAGTCGATTCCTTACTCAATGGTACGCTCAATAATCCATGATGGACCTCTTTGTTTTCTCCGACGGCGCTCTTGTCGAGAATCAAGCAGGAGTCGGATACTCAATTCGACGCGGCGCAACCCATGAGATTGCCTGCGGAACCATTCCTCCAGGTGCTTCAGCAGAAGTGTACGACTGTCAAATTGGAGCGTAGGCGGTTGACCTGAAGCGGAATAGAAGGGCGAGAAGAGGTCGGATGAATTGCTAGAGATGGCTGAAGGTCTACTGGAGATTACTAGAAGGAGCTAAAGGTTTGAAATGTGGGTAATATAAATTACTAAAATTTCTAGAGGTTCAAGTGGGTACTAATGGTGACTAAAGGTACAAAAAGTAACTGGAGGTGACTAGAGGTAATCCGAGGTAATCCGATGATGGTGGTTGTGACAGAAAACTAAGTGTAGAGAACT